ACCAGTATCGGCAACCCAAGGGCAGAGGCAAGCACACCTGGGGCAACAAAGGGTACCAGACCACTTCGTACCCATACAACAACCAGCCATACGCGACCTGGGGACCAACCCAATTCGCCAACCCCGCCATCCCCTCGATGCCTACAACCCCAGGACCCTCGTTCAAGGGCGACACACCCAAAGGAAAGAAGGGGTCCGGGAAAGGCAAGAAAGGCACCAAATCCCACGGGAAGAACAAGGCGCGTTAGGGACAGCACGGCCCAGGGGACCAGTCCCCTGGAGCCGACCCGGCGCGTTGCCTCCATCTTACCAGACAACTCATACAACACACGCCCATTATCCTGATCTCAGTTTTCGACGGGATCGGCACAGTGTCACTTGCCCTGCACCAACTGGGCGCCAACGTCTCCCACTGTTTCCGGTGGGAAACCGATCAGTCCTGCAATCAGCTACCTCATTCACTCTTCCCCACGACGCACATGGGCGCCGTAGAAGATTTTGACATCGAACAACTGGCTGCGATCATCCAGGACATACCCAATCACGAGAGACACATTATCCTCTTCACCGGTGGCCCACCGTGCAAGGACTACTCCAACATTAAACAACACCAACCGGGCCGGGCCGGCTCACAGGGCAGCCTCTTCGACACCGCACTCTCCATCCGCGACGACATTCAGAACAGATGGCCACATCAATCGCTCACCCTGCTAGAGAATGTCGTGCCTCACCCCGAGGTACGCGACGACTTCGACCAGCTGTCCCACTCCATGGGCCTACGCCCAGTCCTGATCGACGCGGCCGACGGCCAAATCATCTCTCGTCCCAGAATCTGGTGGGCCTCGGTCGATTGGGAATCCTTGCCTGCCACATTGAGCAGGCATACACCTTGGCAACTCTCCCTCGACACTCAGCTGTTCCCACCGGTGCTCTTCAATCCCATTGCAGCCGAACTACAACCAGACTGTCACATCCGGGACTTCGACCCGCCGAGTGTCCTAACACACGGACAACTCTTCCACTGCCTTACCACCCAGGCCAGTACGGACGAAGGCCGCCCACCACCACGCAGCCAACAACTACCAGACGACACATGGCAACGGTGGCAAGCCGACCACAAACAATTCGCCCCGTGGCAATACCAACAGAAATACCTGGTCCGGAAACACGGACACGACTGGCAAGTCGCAACACCCGAGCACCGCGAAGCAATGATGGGATTCCCGCGCGGCTGGACGGGACCACACAACACCGACCGGACCAGGAACACCATGCTGGGAAACTCCTGGCATGTGCCCACAGCCATGTGGATCCTATTCCTTTTGCTACTACAGCCAGCCTTCGGAATTCCCCCGCCCACGCAGCGGGTACGTCGCGGATCCCTCGGAATGATGGTCGACCTCTGGCTTCACAACCCACGACCATGGGGACCACCTCCGAGAGCATCGGAAACGCTACATATGCCACAGAACGACTGGCAGGACCACTTGACCTGGGCCAAACACCACGCTACCTCGCTGCAACAGCCCCAGCACTGCGACCCGACCATTTTGTGGGCCATCGCAATGCAAAGGACCATACCACAACTGCCACAACTACAGCACAACGTGTTACTCGACATCGCGGACCTTCGCGATGACCTGACTACAGATACACTTGCATGGTTCGAACAGCTGCCCCCACATTGCCAGCGAGCCTATCGACAACCGAAGATGATCACTCAGGTACCACTCATGACACACTTGCTACATTTGCTTAACTACCCACAGGCACAACTCCTGTACGAGGAACTCTCTCTAGGCTTCGACCTCCTGGGGCCTCTGCGACCCGGAGTCAATTGGCACATTCGCCACGACCACAAATACCTGGACCCATGTGACCTTGTAGAACTCAGGTCATTCAACAAAGCCTACATCCAGCGCAAATTACAACAACACAAGATCGACGACCACTGGACTCTTATGGCCACCGAAATCGCGGGGGAAGTGGCCCAAGGACGTATGGCCGGCCCCTTCGAGGCACCGACTCATTGGACCTCTCGCACAGTACCCCTGCACCTTTTCCCCCACACCAGCCGGCTCCTTCCTATCCCACATCGCGATCCCATTGTGGCAGTCGCATTCAGCATACAACAGACCGGATCGGACGGAAAACCCAAAGTCCGGAGAGGAGAAGACTGGCGCCGCAGCGGCCACAACCAGACGTGCTCTATGCACGATCAACCCTACCATCACACACCCGACCACTACATCCAATGTGCGAGACAATATCACGACGACGCACACCCGCTACATGTGTGGGGACACGACCACGACGGCGCCTACCGTCAACTGCCCCTCGCACAACCGGAGGTAGCATACGTGCTACTCATCACACCCGACGGCCCAACTCTCTGGCACCACCACGTGCTCCTGTTCGGCTCCGCTGCCAGCGTCTGGGGCTACAACCGCTTCGGCGATGCACTCACAGCACTCGCCCGCGTACTAACACTCACACCTGCCCTGCACTACGTTGACGACTACGGGGCCATACAACCCAGTCACATCGCGACCAGTTCCTTCTCCTCATTCAGCAAGCTCAACTCACTACTTGGATTTCATATGAAGACATCCAAGGAACAACCACCGGCGCCCTCTCACAAAATACAAGGGGTTTATGTCGACCTGTCGGCAACACACGCAACCCTTCGACCGTGCCCAGACCGAGTCCGTACACTGTCACACACCCTGTCTCAGTGTCTCGAACAGGGAGGTATGTCGAACGACACCGCCCGACGCACTGCCGGCAAGTGCAACTTTGTCACCGGACACCTGTTCGGTCGAGTAGGGCGATCGGCGTTAGCCGCCCTATACCACAAAGCACACAGCACTTCCGACCGGATCGACAAACCAACTCGAGCTGCCATTCTGTGCCTCCTGAATATCCTGCAACATAGCTCACCCCGCAGCGTCCCACTGTCCACCAGGCCCAGAGACCTTTCAATCATATACACCGACGCGTTCTGCCGGCAGGGCGAGACGGTCTGGCGTGTCAAGGACGCAGGGGATCAGGATTGTCTGCCACCCGATTGGTCGCACGACAACGGATGGGCAGCGGTGCTGTTCAGCCCACAGGCACAAAGGACCCGCGTGGTCTCGGGCGCACTACCCCCTAACTTACTCCAACAAGTGAGTACTGGCACCAACGCCATTTATTTCCTCGAGGCATGGGCCGCGTTGATCGCTCCTGTGATCTTTCGACCATGGATCACTGACACATACCTCCAGTTGTGCGACAACGAAGCGGCCAAACACGCCATCAGACGGGGAGTTGGGAAACACCAACCACTAAACTGCCTGCTCGGTGCACATTGGACATGGCACAACCGACAGCAATTGCAGTTGCATATTGCCCGTGTGCCCACACATGCTAATATAGCCGACCCCTTCAGTCGACATGACATGTCCCTTGCCTCGAAGCACCACTGGCAGATTCTGGAACCCCCCATGCACGCTCTACATAAACGGACGTGCAAAATCATTGGCGATATTGAGTTCGCCCATGCCGTCGGATTTGACGACATAAAGGAACTCCAACAGTTCCACAGGAATCATTCCTCCTGAACCCGACTTGACTTCCACGTCCCGTGAGAATCTTGCCCACAGTAAGGAGACTTGATCGATGTAAGGATGCCTTCAACGTGCCTTTTGTCTAGGTCGTTCGCCTTCGGCTTCACCTTCGACGGGAGTTGACCTACGACGGGAGAACGTCCACTCCCTCTTCGAAACTCTGCTGTACAACATTTTGGGTTTGCATGCACTTGCATTTGCTTACCTTTTATTTTGTTGTACTTTACTTTCGAGTCAGTGGTGTCTGAGAGACACGCACACCGACTCCAGAGATTGAAACAGATCGACCAACAGGTACGATCCCACCCACTTGAGGCAGTGCGGTGAAAATAAATCGACCGACGCTGGTTGCCGTCGTACTCTCTGGAGCGGTTTGTTGTTGCGGTTAACACTTGTGTTAAAAGTAACAACCGATAGCGGAAGGCATTTGAATCACACTCAGATTCGAACCTTGAGTGCCTGCAGGATGACACTGCTTGATTCATGCTCCGTTCGCCATTTTGGCGAATTAGCCAAATTTTTCTTTCCCACCCACCCTCACCAGTTTTCACTGCATGCCCTCAGTACCTGTCGGTCTGCATTTATAGCATCGAGTGAGAGAACGGGAGAACGTCCACTCCCTCTTCGAAACTCTGCTGTACAACATTTTGGGTTTGCATGCACTTGCATTTGCTTACCTTTTATTTTGTTGTACTTTACTTTCGAGTCAGTGGTGTCTGAGAGACACGCACACCGACTCCAGAGATTGAAACAGATCGACCAACAGGTACGATCCCACCCACTTGAGGCAGTGCGGTGAAAATAAATCGACCGACGCTGGTTGCCGTCGTACTCTCTGGAGCGGTTTGTTGTTAGGGCTGGAGGCAAAATACCGGTAGAGCCAGCCAGGGAAGAGGCTAATAGCTGCAAGCAGCCCGATTTCCAGCCCCTCCCCGATGGCTGAGGGTTTTTCCTGTGATGCGCAGTGAGGCGTGCGCTGCCTGATTTGCAAAGCCTCAAAGAACTGGGCTTTGCCACGCGAATCGACTCGGGCGTTTGCTCAAAGTGAAGCAACCGAGACCACACGTAGTTGACCAAACGCGACCTTCGGGGACCCAGTTCAAAGGCGGGGACCCAGTTCAAAGGCGGGGCTTTCAATGGTTTTTATGCGCGTGATTTTTTGCACCCTCCAGGCTAAGAGACTTGCCATCCATGCACCTTTTCGATCTCTTTGACTTGAGAACCGTCTACCGTCGTCGGGTTTGCATACATGGGTCTGTCTTTTTTATGGGACCCCCCAAAAAGAAACATGGCGGGTTTCCCGTTGGTTTCCACTTTAAACCAACCAATACCAAACCGCCGTGCCGGTTTGGACTTCTGCTTGCAACAAGTCTGAGAACCGCGCATCGTCAGGAGAAAGAGAAGGAGACTGGCCTGGGGCCCAGGTGCAGGCAATGGTGGGCTGGACTTGGTGCATTTTCAAGTGCCAAGTCGGGCAGGGCTCCTTAAAAGATACACTTTGCCCAATTGAAACATGGCTTTTTCGACCAAAATAAAGGGAACCCACCATTTACAAGGCAATGTTCAGGTGTACAATGTAAGGATCCCTGTTGGGTATCGTTGACTAAAATTTGACCTTGCTGGCTTGGTGATGGTCTGAAGGCGGTTGATGGAGTTTGGTCTGGTGGGGGATCCGCTGAAAAAGAAGAATCCCCGACCCTTCTTGAAATTTCGCTCGAATGGGATTCAGCTCCTGTCCATCTAGCACTTCATCCAAAACGGGAGTCATTGCCTTGCCTCATTGACCCCCTTCGCGGTCCTTTGGGGTTTATGTTTGCACCTGGACGTTTCAGGAACGGCCAGCCTCGTGCCCCTCGTGCTTCTTAACCGTGGCTTTCAGGATAAGCACGTTCGGCTAGTCTGGTGGTGTTTTCTAGGAACCAATCCACAAACCGGAGCATTCGAATCAGTTTCATTCTCCTGAGGCTCCCAGGAGAATGTCCTGGTCATCTCCTCGGAGGAGACGAGAAACGGGCGCAAGCTTCGTTTCCTGCGGAATTTCACCTTCAAAGAGCGGGGCGGTTTTGTTCCAATGAAAGCATAGCCGTTGCTGTGATCACACCATGTGTGGCCTTCAATGCCCCCTTCAACGCCACTCAGATCGACATGTCAGGGCCAAGGTCTCTCTGGAGGAAAGCAACGGGCTTCGACGTCCGGAGAATTCGGGGTGGATGTTGGGGTGTGTCGCCTTCGTCAACACCAGCCGACTTTTTGTTGCCCTCATAGGTGCTTTCCTCTAATCTATGGGACCCCCCCGCGTGTTTCTATTGACAGGACATATTGTCTTCGTCGGTGTCGTTCACCTCGGTAGGAGGAGAATTCCGACGTGGCTCCGACCAAGGCGCAGGGCTGTGTGAAGATCTGATCACCAATCAGCAACTCCAGAAGTGTCCCTTCCGGGCGGGTCCTGTGCTGGGCATCCCCTATTTTCAAGCCGAGCTGGAAGTACCACATCGCCTTCCCAGTCGCGTTGCAGCGCGTCATCGACGCGGTAGCAAGAGCAACAATAGGGCAACGACCCGTGCTGCTTCTCATCCCAGCCTATCCGACCACAACCAGACGTGGCCCAGAGACTTGCTATTCGTGCCAAGGCCATGCCGCCAAATTTCCTTGGACAGCGTTTTTAACACACGACGAAATCAATCGACCAACTGGCCATGGGCCATGAAGCGACACGACGCGCACGCCTGCCAGGCAGCCGACTGTCCGCTAATGCACCATCGTCAGCATCATCGGATGCGGTTTGCGCTTCTTGCAGCACCAGTCTTGCCACAGGACGATAGCCGGGGTATGCTTACATAACAACGCGAGACCGGCAAGCGAGCAACCTTTCTGGGCGCTTCACGTTTGAATGTTCGAGTTGCTTCATGTTAACTTGTTCAAGCTATCGGGCACTTCAACGAGGATTGCATTGGCTTTTCGCGAGCTATCCGGCACTCCATTCTCTTCATCCTTCGGCGCAGCTTGGCATCGGCTCTTCTTCTCATCCTTCAGAACCATTGGCCTCATTGAAGGAACTGCCCAACTGGAGCGGTCGCAGGCAGGTACTGCTCAACTTACCCAAAGTGACGCGACTTAGGCGCCCCTCGATGATTTGACCGGCGATTTGATTTTAGTCGCTCTGTGCTCAGTTTCTGGCCATCTGCAATGTTTTATAAGTTTTATAGTTTTTGTTGCAAGCCACAAAGCAAGATGACGGGGATGTTCAATCTGGTTGAATATTGGCTATAGGGCTTCAGCAAAGCGACTTCATCCTGAAATTTCTCCCTTGGCTGCAGCATTGCTTCCAAGCCAAGCTTACATGGTTTGCGGGTCCGCCAGTGCGCTTTTACCCAGTCTTCCAGTGGTGCCAGTGTCTTTGTTGGTCATTTCCCTTTCCGAAATCAGGCGCCCAAACTTGTTTCGTGCTGAGCCTGTTGCCAGGGCAAGGGCAAAGGCAAGAACAAGGGCAAGGAGAAGGGTAAGGAGAAGGGCCAGGAGAAGGGCCATGAGAAGGGCCAGGAAAAGGGCTTGGCAAAGGGCCAGGAGAAGGGACAAGAAAAGGGCAAGGAGAAGGGCCAGGCCAAGGGCAAGGAGAAGGGTAAGGACAAGGCCCATGAGAAGTTGAAGGAGAAGGGCCAGGAGAAGGGACAGGAGAAGGGACACGAGAAGGGCGGCAAAGACAAGGGCAAGGGCAAGGGCAAAAAAGGCTGGGATCGCCTCATTTTTCCAGAGGGGTCGTTGCATAGTCCAATAGACGTTGGGAGCCCTTCATTTGTGTGTAGGCTTCCTCACATCGCAGGAATTCCATTCAATATCCCAATATCCAATGGCTCTGTAGTTGGTCTTGTGACCAACCTCCATGACGGCCTAATCCCGCTTGATCCCCCGCTTCTGTGATATCTTGATATGTGGATGCATACTCATATTTACACATATTTGCATTTTTACATTGCAGAACATTGAAGGATCATCCTTCAGGATACTTCTCAGGAGCACCCCCGACTGACAGCACTGCTGCCTTTGAAGGGGCTGACCCGCAGCTGCCTTGTTGCAATAAGCAAGCTTGACTTTGCTAAACTCAGCTCTGGATTTATGAGGTCTGCCTGTGGGCATGTGATTTTACTTGCAGCTCATCGACTTCCACGATGCGACTCGGGGGTTGGATGTTTGTAAAGCCGCGCAGTAGGCTTTGAGAAAGCACATGAGTGGTTATTTGCATTTCACTTGGCAGACAACTAATTTCTAGTTGTTGTTCGACATAAGATGGCGGTGATTGCCACTGTTGCCACTCTTGATCAAAAACAACCAGTGCCAAACAAATCGATTTGTTTGTTCACAGCACGCTGTTTATGGCCTCGCATGTGGGGTGAGACTGCAGGATCGATTTACAAGCGCCTCGGGCTCGCTTCAGATGAATCCAGGCCACCAACAAGGCTGTTTACTGCCCTCTCAACTTGAAGCCTTTGTCATTCTGACGCAGTGTGAGATCTCATCGAAGCCGCCGGCTGGGTGGTTGGCCTCTGTGTTTTGTATCACAGACGATGGATCGCATGAATCGCAGCCGGCGGAAGGGCAGGCTTCTTGTTTTCTGACTCTCGCAGCCAATGGCGGAAGGTTTTTCACTACATGGGTATGGGCCAAATTAAACCACCCGGGGACCGCAGGTTTTGGTCCAGGTCTCCACTTACTAGGGTTCCATTTGGGGTACCTATTTTTGACAACCACAGCCACATGTTGCGCGAGATCAGGTTCCAAGGGTCGCCTCGGCAGGCTGGGTGAAGGTCGAGCGCGAGCCAGCGGAGGAGGCGCTCTTTGGTCCCGCGTGTTATGGCCCGTGATCGCCCGGGAGTTTGGACGCCAAACGAAATATGGGTACCCTCCCACCAACTAACATGGCAGGCAGCCTCCAACCAACTTGTTCTTGCGATCGGTGCGAGAGATGCAGGGAATGAGAAATGGAATGAACCCGACTTAAACCATCCCACTGGTGGTTTCCTTTCTTCGAGAATCCCGAAACGGTTCATTCCCTCATTCCCACCAATTAACATGGAAGTGCATGGACCCCTGTAGAAAGACGACTCTCCTCTCGGCAGGGGGCGTTGTGCACTTTCGTGTTAGTTGGTGGGAGGGTGTGTCTTTGTTTGAAGGGCCCATATTTTTGTTCTCGCGTGTCGACGGCCAAAGGTCGTGGGCAATGCGCCAATCTACTAAGTCAAGGAACTTGTTCGTCCAAGTTTGGGTAGACCTGCGAGACGGGAACGACGGAGGGGGAAATAGGCAAAGCTTTGACCGGCTGACTCCAGGAAAAAACCGTGCTGGGCGATATGTTTTGCTTGCACCCGTGGAAAGGGTATCGGATCCGGCACCCTGAACCTCGGGCCAAATGGTCCGTTTCGGCCGATTTCGGATCGTTAGGAGGAGCCGGAGGAAGAGGAGACCCAGGCAAGTGACGGTTTGGCCGCTTCTTGCGGGATTTTGGGAAGCTCAGTTTGGCGGGAGGCTTTTGAGGTGTGAGGCTTCGAGCTTTGAGCTGGCACAAGTTCAAGGATCCGGCTTTAGATGTCTCAGATCCGAGTTTGAGAGTGGTGTATGTTGCAGATCCGAAGACAGTGGAGACTTTGTTCAGTTGTCCACTGGAAAGTGCGGCCATACACAGCGCAGTGAACTAAAACCCTCGCCTCGAATCGGAGCAATAGCAAGGACACGTTTTTCACATCGCCTAAATGTCCAAAGATCGTTGCGGGTCCTTTCCCTCATTTGGCGCAGGAATCCTTGTTCATCAGAGAATCAGACATTCCCATTCCCTCGTCAGCTGTTTGGTTGTCCTTGCTTCTGTTTGTGAGCTTTATGCCGGGTTCCAACGTATCTGCACACTTCTCAGCCAAGCTTTCCGGGTCCCGAAAACATGGGGCTCAAGCTTCCAAAGGCGCAGAGATTAAAATGTCGTCAGGATCGTTCCGACCAACGGATCTGTCGGGTACTGATTTTGATCTTTGCAGGTGCGCGAGAAGGCGCGGAAGCTCATGGAGCCGCGGCCCAAGCTGCGGAGAAACCGGGAGATCCGTCCGCCCGACGGCTCGGGAAGTTTTCTGAATGTTCATGCCGGCTAAAGGAGGTGTGCGAAGCAGCGCAAGCATTGGCAGAGGAGAAAGGGGGAGTTTGATAAATGGGGTCCAAGAGGAACACAATCTACATGAAGCAAACCAGATGATTTGGCGGATGCATTGCATCTAGCTGGGCCTTTCTTGCGGCTTGGAACTGAGCTCTCAGAGAGGCATGGGGCAGAGGGGGGGCTGACTTTCAGAAGAGAAAGTTCTCTTTGGAAGTCAGTGCCTTTGGCCCACCCCTGACTATTGGTAATTATTTGTCGCACGCGGGTGGAAAGGGGAAAGCAAATCATCCTTTGAGGCAACAGCTTTGTGAAGGATTCGCAACGCTTTTTGAAAGGAGTCTCTATAGACTCCTCAGTTTTACCGCGCTGTGGTTCTACTCCTGCTCCAGGGTACTTCAGTGTTGTTGGCAAGTTGCTTGGTTTTCGTTTTTTGTTTTTTTTGGATCTGCTCATTTTCAGTGGGGGGCCTGCCAAAAAAAAACAGCAACACACACACGCACACATGCGGACAAAGAGAAAGCAAACACAATTTGTTTGCTACCATAGCAACGGTGGCAACGCATCCACGTAGCCCATGGCCGGCTTTGGCGCGTCGTCGCGGAGCTCCGAGCTCCGGCCGGGCTGAGGTCCCGCGCGGCCGCCCGGGCAGAGGCGGAGAGGCAGCGCCAGCTGCTGCGGCAGAAGGCGGCGCGGGGCCTCGGTGCCTCGGTGCCACTCGGTGCCGTGTGAGCAGTGGTACGTGACCCAAGGAAGCCAAGCAACCCAGCAATCCCAACGAAGCCAACCAGCCAAGCAACCAAGCCAAGCAACCACGCCAAGCAACCAAGCAACCAAGCAATCCAGCCAAGCAATCCAAGCCAAGCAACCAAGCCAAGCAAGCAAGCCAAGCAACCAAGCAACCCACTCGCTCGAGTATCTGGAGCTTCTTGGGCATGACTTTTCGGAACCAAAGGATTGTAGGGCGAATAGTTGCCTGATTTTCCCAGGACCATCACTTTTGATTTTAAATCCCGGAACCGTCGAAGTACTTGAGCCCTAAGAGCTCTTTGGCTCAAAACAGACCACGCTTCCCGCCGAAGCTTCGCCTTCGAATTCTGGACTTTAAGACCAGGCTTGAAGGCCTCGGTGCGTCAAAGGCGCTCGGTCTTTGCTTTGCTCTTTGGCTTTGACGGGTGGCTTCGCTAGGGCTTTGGCTTTGGATAGGCGGTCTTTCAGTCTGGGCCTTGGGTTTTGACGGGTTTTGGGATTCCTGTTGAATGGGCTCTTTCAGTCTGGGCCTTGGGTTCCAGAAACCAAACGCAAGGCTGGAAGCGGTCCAGACGCAAACATGCCAGACTTCCCCTTCGCTGCAGGGTTTACTGGTCCCACTGTCTTCACCAACCGTGGCCACACGACTCACAAACCTTGCGGGCCAACGCATTACGAGTCCGTGAGCAGCTGAGGGTCCGTTGAGATTGTGGATGTGTATCAAGCAAACCCTAAACCCTAGGGAGGGGTGTCGGACTCGGATTCTGCTTTTTTGTTTTCGCTGGGTTGCTGAAGGCCAATAGGGGAAAGTGAACATGCTTTCACACACACACACACACATCGTTGCAATCATGCTTTGCTTCTGCCCAGAGACAGGATGCGCTTTTTTGGGTTTGGATTGGGTTCTAGAGACCCGAGTGGCAGCGGGCCAACATGCGCACCACGAGCCCGAACGTGGGAAGAAGCAGTGCAATGTGCCAAAGGGTACAGTCACAAAGCAAAATATTCATACGCATATCAAAAGTGCAAGTGGAAGTAAAGAGAACACCAACAACTAAATCATAACATGGGAGTTTGCTTTCTTCAGCCACCTTTGAATTGGAAGTGTCCGGACCAGGTCAATTTCATTTCCAGATGCACCGTCCCAAAAGGGGTCCAACTCGTAAGGCTGATTTTTAGATGGAAAATATTCATGTCGCTCCACCTAAGAAACCCTCTGATGCCCGTGTAAATACCCGCAAACAATGGTTTCAACCATGGTTTCATTTCATATTTCGTGGTGCGAAATGGATTTTGTCCATCCACAGTGCCCAGTCGCCGGAACATGTTGCCCTAGGCCGGCACGGTGCTCTCGAGCGAGGACCGAAAAATCGTTTCGGTGGAGCGCAGCTTCGGGATGGGGAAACGGAGCGTGTGGACCGTTTCGGAGAGAAAGCCTTGAGTCACGTCAGGGATTCCGGGCCGTTTCCCTTTTTGGAAGCTCCAAATGTGGCAGTTTCAGTGGAAACCACCACAACAAAAACAACATTTGATTTGGGAAAATTGAGTGACCCCTGTAGATTCGGGCTTAGGGCAACAAATAGAAAGTTTTCATGGAAGATAAACTCTGAAGTGTGTCAAACAAGGGTTTGTGAGCCGCTCCAAATGACTGGCATCCTTTTCAATCCATTTTGATTTTCCGGTTGGTTTCATTGTGACGGCAATGGCAGCCATCCACGTGGACATAACGCGTGGCTTTGGTCTCAGTCTATTGTGGTGATTTCGAAAAGCGAGTGGTACTCGATGGTTCTTTTTCGCATTGCAAGCATTTGTTCCCGCGGAGGACGAGGAAGAGGAGGAGAAGGAAGAGGCCAAAGCCGAGGAGACCCCTCATCAGGAGCCACAGGAGCCAGAGGAGCTGGTTGAGGTCGAGACAGGCGCAAAGGGGAAAGGTGCGAGGCAACTTGGCTGTGGGTCAAAAGCCAAATCGTACCCCCCGTGAACATCCCAATCCCCACTAAAATAAATGGGTGGTGCACCCACCCCAAAATGGTACCATTGGTTTTGACCCATGGCCACTTGCATCGGAGTCAAGTTGAACTGTCCCAGCTTTTGGACACTTCAGCAGGCCCCTGACTTTGCTTTGTAGGCGTGAGAAAGCAAACGGCCCCCAGTTTCCTGACTTGACAACTGGAAGCAGTGGGACCTTGCTTATGAAGGATCCTGTCTTGGGGGGTCCTTGCTCAGCCAGGCTTAGAGAGCACAGACCTCTTCTGCCAGAATTCTATTTGGCCATGGGTCAAAATCCCGTACCCCCAGTGAACATCCCCACCACTAAAATGGACTAAAATGGGTGGTGCACCTACCCCAAAATGGTACCATTGGTTTTGACCCACAGCCATTTCTGTGTCGCTCCTGTCATGCCATTGCTACCAGGCCGCGCAAGCGCAAGCAGCTCGGAAGAGGAGGATGAGGATGAGCACGTGCCGGAAGGGAAATTGCAATGACACCATGATTGACTCCAATGCATTGCACATAGTTGCTAGTTGCTGGTTTTGAGCATGAATGTTCTCTTAAATATATATATATATATATACATATATATGTATGTATGTATATGTATGTATATGGCTTCCGTTCAAAAAGGCCGGCTAAGGAGCTATTTCCGGTATGTTCATAGTTCCTGTGGCATCTCGTTTTTGCCTTTTCGAAATGATGCAAATCCCACTGGCAGCGCTAGCTTCGCGCTAGCTCGGCGCTAGGTCGGGGACGTTAGTTGACGTGGCATGTGAGATGCGCACGCATGGCCCTTGTGTCCGGTCGCTCTCAGGGCTCGAGGCATTCCTTGCTCGCAGCGAGTGCTGCGTCTGCCACGAAATCTGCACGTGCCTTTTGCGAAAGTGCTGCGCCTGCCACGCCTGCCCTTCGGAAGGCATTGCGCCCGTCACGAAATCTGTACCTGGCCTTGCGACACGAGACCCTGCGAAAAACCTGAAAACATAGGCAGGTTTTCGCGCTAGCTCCGCGCTAGCACCGCGCTAGCGCTGCGCTAGCAGGCAATTTCCAAATTGAACACTGGGGCACGTGCCTTGTAGGCAATACCCAAGAAGCCACTTGCATGTTTCTAGGCTGTAGTTGTAAGTCAGGCTAAGTAAAACTATATACTCGTAGTACGAACCAATTCCGTTTTGTTACTTGCTGAAGTTGTGGTGTGGAAGATTGGGCTGTGTCGTGTGTTTAAATTTCCTATGGCAGCAGCTCTACAAGCTTGGATAGCTCATCCGACAGCAGCTAAGAAAAGGCTCGCGCTAGTGCGCCTGTCAGTTATTCGTACGTTTCTTCGTCAAACCAATCTTGGTTGTTCATATGGCCCGAATGATACGGGCCCCCATCTGGGAACCAACATTTTGACAACCAGCCACATGTATACATACATATATTTATATATGTATATTACTAAATACATACATAAGCCAATATATATATATAGATAGATAGGTATATATATATATGAGGAAGCCAGCAACCGAGCGACGGCCGTACGCAGCTTTCCTCTGACCTGCGGTAGGAGGCGCCGATCCCAAAGTCCAGCATGATCAGCCAATCCGTCTCCTGGCCCTGCGGGGGGGATGATGGAGGGTATCTATTTCGGGTGTGTCTTTTTTTTGAGGGTCTCTATTTGGGCCGCAGGTTTTTGAGGGTCTCTATTTGGGCCGCAGGTTTTTGAGGGTATCTATTTGGGCCACAGGTTTTTTGAGGGTGGTTCTATTTGGGCATGGGTCAAAATTGAACCACCAAGAATTTGACCGCAGGTTTTTTTGTCCTTGCTTCCATTTACTCATGAAGCTGCAGGAACCGCAAAAGGACCACCCGCACTTTGGGAGGTCACCACACTACAGCCAGTGGGACTTCCAGTCACAATGGTCATGCTGTTTCGTGTTTGAATTGTCCCCAATTATACATCACCCCAAAGAAGGACTGTCCAAGCCCCCACCCCTTTTTTGATGTTTAAACAACCCAGCAGGGGCAAGGACAAAGCCTTCGAGCTGCCCTTTAAATGGTCAACATTCTGATGTTCAACATAGGGGGAATTTCAGGCATTTGCTTGAGGCAACCGCACCATTGACTGTGCCGCAACAAAGCTGGCTTGTTTGCAAGTTGGGGAAGCGTACTGCATTCAGAAGTCAAGCATGTGTCACCTAGGATGGTCACACAGACTGACCCATGAAAGTACCCGCCGCCCCTGGAAGACTATCATAGTCCAACGTTGGTGGGGGCAGAGGTCAACAAACGTTTCACCTAGGCTGGTTGTCAGGCACAAACACGCGCACGAGCACGCGAACGAGCTTGCGCACGCACATCCGAATACCCGCGCAACCACACACCCAGTACGCACACGCGCACATGCACACGCAGACAAGCATGCACACGCACGCGCACTCGCAAACTCTCTGAATGACCGACCGGTCCATGGAGGTATTGCTGATAGCCCACTGCACTTTCCAATCTCGCCAGCTGCGTGGCAAGCGCTTGCCGACACCTTCCTCTTGGTTGTGATTTAAATTGTTTGAGTTTCTTTCCATGCCAACCACTCCGCTGCAACACGGACATTCATTTGTTTGGCCAGACCGGACAGCCGCTTGCTGAGACCTTGGATCGCTTGAACCCTGTGGCGGACACAGGGCTTGCCCTGGGAATTGGAATGGCAGGGGGGCCAAGCGGGGTGGGCCGCTGTTGCTTTTCTATTGAATACTGAGTGGCCAATAAGTCTAGTTGGGAAGATGAGCAACTCTGACAGAACCCCCCTGTGCAGATAGTCATTGTAGCTGGTGTTTGCATAGTAAGCCCCGGAAGGGAACGGAAGCCCTGCTTCACACCCCATGCACTGATGACAACTCAGAGCTCTCTGCAACGGCAGGCTCCTGTGTCCCCTTGCTTGACGCCACGTTGAGGTAAGTTCAAAGGTGAACCCCTTGTTCTTCAGACTGCCCGGACATTTACAA